CCCTATTGGGTTCTGGGCCGCATGTTTTTGGCCTCTTTGTTGTAGATTTTCATGTCTGGTCACCATTTCTACTTGTATTTCTCCATTTGGGCTTGGCCCAGTCGTATTCTTAATGAACACCCTTTCAAAAAAAATGCTTACTTGGTTGAGAGACTTGAAGATGTAGAGTAATCCAAATTCCAAACCCATATTTTATGCATCTCATCTCAGGTCCAACAACACATACAATGATCGACTTCAGACAATTTTATTGCCTAATTGTTATGAGAGGCACCTTATATTTGCGTCGATTTTGCAAGAATTTGCCACGATACTGGAAAAATGCCAAATAATCGCATTAACTTAGGATCAGTAGCTTATTTTGATGTATTACCTTTACATTTCCCACCTACGGATGATCACACAAATATAAGATTTGTAACCAATAAATTAGAATACGATACTTCACAGTTTAGGGTACGTAGGTTGGTTGTCGCATTTCTGCATATCTAATCTTTTGGTTTTTAGTGTGGTCATATCTAAATGATGAGATTTAAATAAATTCATTTTTTTCCTATGTTTTTAATCCGTTTGTATCTAATTTGTTTAACTCAAATTAAAATATATATTTTATTTATTTTCCATTCATTAATTTATTTTCTTATAAAATTACTTGGGTCCACCATAAATGTAATTGCGAGTGAATTGCATTGATGTAAATAGTATGAAAATAATATGAGTTGGGTTTCATAGTTAGTAAAATACGGTACGGGAAAGTTACGTAAAAGATACGTACGGGCATTATAATTCATCTTTAAGCTAAAATTACGTTTAATAGTACGTTAATAGTCATAAATTTATAAAATTAATCATATTAAAAATAAATAAATATATAAATAATAGTAAAGTTAACAATTTAATTCGTAAAATACGGATAATAAACGTGTTATACGGGTTTTATACGTGTTTAGTACGGGAAACATGAAATGAACGGGGGAAAATGAAACGGCTTGACAATAATACGGATACGGAAGTTTTAAACGGATAAAGTACGTACGGGTACATATACGTGTATTAAACGTAGTATTTACTAACTATGGGTTTCATAAATTGTGAGGTGACAATTAAAACTACATATGCAATTTGTTTTTGCAATTGCATTGAGGCGAGTGCTATAAAGGGGTTTGAAGTTGGGACCTGCAGGTTAAGGACCAATGATAGAACCACTAGAACAAATGTTGTTCTCACGATTAATGTGATTTTTTTGTGCAGAGAAAAAATAATTTTGACTTAAAATGAAAAAGAAACAACACTTTAAGTTTAGTTAAGAAATTAGGTATATGCATAATTACTAATTAGTAACCGACTAAGTTCAGCTACTCCGGACATTTGACCATGGAGGTCAATTTGTGGTCAACCTAGCAAACGTCTCAGATTAATCTAACCCTCTTATTGGGCTAGGCTCACTTCCTAAGTGGGCCCAAGTTACTGATTTGTTTCGGAGACTGATGGGTAGCAAATACTTAGGTTGGGCTCACTTCAAAGTTCTATTGAATCTACAACTACAATTATGCAGATGGCAGACGGCAAACAGTTAATGTGTACGTTTTTGCTTAGTATCTTAATTAAATTCTTTATTCTCCCGAGTACAACCTAGTTATTCTGCTAATTTGAAGATTCGTTAGTATATACTAACTAATATTTAAAATGTATGAACTAATATCCAAGCCTGCTAAGTATCTAAATAGCACATGCTAGTATTCAAAACATCACAAACTAGTATCTAGATAGCAGATACCAACTAATATCCACAATCAACCAACTAGTATTCAATATGGATACTCTTATGGGTTATCTGGATACTCTTATGTGTTATCTGAATACTACTTATGTGCTGTTTGGATACTATTCTTTGTTGTCTAAATATTAGATTGTGAATTTGGGATAATAGTTGATTCATGCTGGATATCAGTTAGCAAACTTTGAATACTAGTATGTGCTCCCTAGATACTATAATACTTGGATATTAATTCATTTATTTTGAATATCAGTTAGTATCTGCTAACGAATCTTCAAGTTAGCAGATTAACTTTCCCCCCGAGTAGGGTCCTCAATTTATTCTATAAATAGATTTGGACCCACCTGTTGGCCGGCTGAGTTACTATAATAATGATATAAATAATAATAGTAATTGATTGAACGAAGTTACGCTTTTATTTGATAGGATGAAAGAATCCAAATTATTCAACTTTTGAAAATATAAAAAAAACTACATACATCATAAGTTTTATGCCATCTTGATCATTAATGGACAAAATACCTTATCAAAAGTAAAAAACACAAATCATTCAAGAGTAAATTAAAAAATACATTTAAATTTACTCTTCGTTATATCGAATTTTCTTTGGACTTCTTTGTGATTGCTCCACCATGAAAACCATTTTCACCATGAAGTTTCATCTTTATTAATGAAATTTTTAGATTCACCATCAACAATCTCTTCCTTCAAACTTAAAAAAAAAAAAATCTTCCTTCTTCTCATGCATTTCATCAATAATCTCTTCTTTTTTATCGTTAGTCGGGAATAAACACCTATAAAAGTAATTATATTTCTATTGGTTTTGAACTTCATACTTTTAGATAGGGATAATGACCTATCTTTCATCAATTGTAAGAGAAAAATCAATACCTTAAAAAGAATAGGCGAATAAACTAATAATTAGTTACAAAACCATTGATAATTGTATTCATAAACCTCCTCACCATGGGTGTCAAACCATTTGTATATAAGTCGACATATCTGGGTTCAGCCGATATTAAACAAAAATAGGCTAGAAGACTACTGGTAGTAAAAAATGGTAACAAAAACAATCAAATCGAGAAAAGAGTGATACTACTGGAATGTTCAAAATTTTATCCCTAAAAAATAACGTCGCTTTGGTGGAATTAACTAGCAAAAAAAAAAAAAAAATACAAATATGTTGAATTCATATATGAACACTTAGATATTGATTTTATCTACTAGATTCAAGTCTAAACTGTTGGATATTGACGGTAAATATTGCATTTACATATGATGATTTGTCATTTGTTTGTAATGTAATATATTATTTAAATATTGATGAAGATTATAAGTAGATTGTCTTAAGATCATAGGGCGAGGTAGATGATTTGCAAGGGATTGAACTTGCCAATAATAGTTAACATAAGAGCATCTTTATATATAGGTTAATAAACCCACAATTCATTTGGTTTTAATGATTTCTCACTTCCTCGTATACTTTGTTATTCAAAATATAAAATGTTTGTTTCTCGGTCTGAGCATACCACTTGCTAAACTGGCATAACGTTGTAAATTAGTTTGACAACCTTACTCATCATCCTTAATTGTCAGTTATCAATAACGCAACTTAAATATATATATATATATAAACAAACTTTTTTTCAAATAAGGAGTAAAAAACATAACTGAATACAACTGAAACATAATAATTAATTTACAATTACAACACATAATCAAATAGAATAGAAAAATAGAAAATATTTTTTATGTACGAAATTTCTTCTCCACTAGTAATAATTAACAAAGTCTTTTTTTCTAATATAGGTGGGATGTTTAAATTGTGAAGGTCGGGGTTTCATTAAGTATTTTGGAATTAGACATGTTCTCACAAAAAACCCCTAATAGTGCTCATGATGAGAAACGTTGAAAATATAGAGACTATAGAGTACATTGTTATGTAATTGAATGGTCCTTGCGGATTCAATTTAAGGAAGGACAATTCAATTTTGACCCTTTTGGGCAAACACTACTGTGTCATCGTCATGGAATACATCAGCGAAAATATTCATTTCAGTTCTTTGTATTTGGCTTGCCGCTTATAATAAGAACCAAAAAGCAAAAACTATCTTTTTCCTTCACCTTTAGACTTCATTACATGCATGAATTTAAGTTTGAATTATTATTTTTTAATTACGAAAATGAATATTTTGTCTTCGTTCATAGGGCAAATTTTCAACCCTTATTTCAAAATCTAACCAGTAAAATTTTGGATTCTACCGATCCAACTGTATTGAAAGAGAATTTTGAAAAGTATTCTTCTATTAGTTTTTAAATATTTTTTTAATAAGCTCGACACATCAATTTATATATATATTTTTTTTAATATATATATATCCAACTGTATCGAAAGAGAATTTTGAAAAGTATTCTTCTATTAGTTTTTAAATATTTTTTTAATAAGCTCGACACATCAATTTATATATATAGAAGAATATATATATATATAAATTGATGTGTCGAGCTTATTAAAAAAATATTTAAAAACTAATAGAAGAATACTTTTCAAAATTCTCTTTCGATACAGTTGGATATATATATATTATATATATATATATGTTAGAGTTATAATTTTTTCTTGGAATTTATCATGTAGATAAGTACAACTTTTGTGGTCAAAGGATTCGTATTAGTATATAACATTACTCTGTGATAAAATACTATATGATAATCTTTTTAATGGTGATGATTAAGATTCCAAGTTCGTTTTAAAAGAAAGGTTCCCAGCTAAAGTAAGTGGAGTACTTTTAATATATTTATTTATTTGGGTTTTAAATATTTTCTTTATGAATTATTTGTTTCATTTATTGGGAAAAATAACCAATACTACATTTTCTTTTGTTAATAGGTCTCACTCTAACATAGGTTATTCAGGCATTTCATCTTTTTTTTAATGTTGTTAGTAGATACTCAATTCAACTAAATATTTATCGAACATTGTGTAAAAAAAGCCAACAATGACACAATATTCATTCTCTTGAGTCTTGACATTCAAAATATAGAACCTTATTACCATAAAATAAAAAGCTGATCCCAATTTACTGGTCAAATAATCAACTCAATGATCGATCAATCAACATCATTTTCGAGTCCTATCTCACCAAGTTGTATAAATTACCATGTGCCCTTAATCTGGTTCAATTTTATATAGGTACACTAAGGAATCAACAACATTTCTCAACAAAAAGATTCATATAATAGATCTAAAAAAAATTATTCATATAATTGAGACCTATTTACAAGAATCAAGATCGTTGTAAAAAATGATTCCCCAAACATTGTTTTCCAAAAAGCTAGTTTTTGTAAAATATGGATTTTTATGAACAACCATTGAAAAAATAAGAAAATAAAAAACGAAATTGACGCAGCAGAGACAAGTGGACACGTAAGCAGTCCAAGTAGTGGCGCAGCCGCACTATATAATCCGCCCGGCACTTGCCTCTGCAAAACCCGGCTGCGGCTTTCTCCTTTCCAGTGTTGGAGAAAGGAATAGGAAAAGAGGGAAAATAGAAGTTATCGAACAAAATTTGCCCAACCGAAAGAAATTAAAAATTACATACACAAGTTGCAGAGGAACAAAGCTATCCGTTCTTCTTCTCAGTAGTCAGTACAACCGTTGTATTGGGCAGAGTGGGAGGGCGGCCAAAACCCTAAGTCTCATTGCTGTTTCAAGATTTCAATCCTGTCAGGAAACTCGTATAAATCCAGGTGAAATTCACAAAGCAATTCTTTTTTTTTTTTTCTCCTGCGAATTCTGTCTCAAGTTCGAATCTTTCCTGCTTTGGGTGCCAAAATTCCGCAAGTCTCAGCTTTGATTTCCTCTGTAATGCTGTCCCTCCATTTTGTGTTTATATGATAATCATTTCTAGTGGGTTCTGTGAAGTTGGGAAGAATGCGTGCTAAAGTCGCCATCTTGGCTGCAAGAATTTTCTTAGCCATTTTCCTTGGAGGGGCAATTTCCATGGCTGGCATTTGTAATTTGTCGAGTTTTACTATGAGGATTAGTTAATCAGTGTTTATGTTCCATGCGTTTCTGGTTAGAAGTTTGGTCTAAAAAATGGAATAATGGTTTTGGGATAGCTCGTTTATGTAGAATCGATGCTATGTCAGTAGAAAATTAGTTTTGGACGATAAGGTGGGCAGCCAGTTTCTGGATTCGTTACATTTGCTTGATTTGGTTTGTCTGCAGGAATGGCACTCTTTTCGCAGGCTGGTCCATCGTGTACCCTCCCTAGGGAGTTTGTGCAATGCAAAGCAGGACAAGGTGCCCTTTTTGTCGCACCTAACAGTAGAGAGTCATCTGATCTTAGATTTTCCTCACCATCATGCAAGAAACCCGGGTTGCTAAGGTTGCATACTCCGGCCAAAAGAAGCCGTCGTGTAGTTGTTAATGCAAGCCCTCCTACAGAAGATGCTGTGGTTGCTACAGAGCCACTAACCAAAGAGGATCTTGTAGGATACCTTGCCTCTGGTTGCAAGACTAAAGAAAATTGGCGGTTAGTGTCTGGTTTTGGGATAAGAATGTTGCATGATGAGATTTGATGATGGCATTATATAGTAAACTAAAGATGAATCCCTACTTCTGGAGCTGAGAAATTATTTGCAAATTCCTTCTGTTTTTTCATGAAACAGACATAGATGCTTGTGTTCACTCCCTTATTTTGGCTTAATTTTCATGGATTCTCTACGTAGGCACTCAAGGAGCCTAGCTATTCTCTATTTAATGGTGTTTATTCTTGTGGAATCACCACCTTTGGATTGAAAATGAATTTACATCAAAGTACCTACTTGGTTGTTGTGTGGGAGTTTCAACTTATTTTGGTCTCTAACCCAAAATGTGCTACTTTTACAGGATAGGCACAGAACATGAGAAGTTTGGTTTTGACATTGGAACTTTACGTCCTATGAGATATGAGCAAATTGCGGAGTTGCTTAATAGTATTGCTGAGAGATTTGATTGGGATAAAATAATGGAAGGTGACTACATCATAGGACTGAAGCAGGTAATTGATTGGTATTTTGATTTTTCATGGTCCGACATTCGTAACATCTCTCTGCTTGGAATTTCTATACAACCTTCATTTCCTTGTGGAACAGGGGAAACAGAGCATATCACTAGAGCCTGGTGGTCAGTTTGAACTTAGTGGTGCACCTCTTGAAACATTGCATCAAACTTGTGCTGAGGTCAACTCACACCTGTATCAGGTGAGTGTAGTTGGTATTTAAGGAGCTTTAATGCTGGATCTAATGCTTGATATAATGCTTTACTCTATGGCTTCTTGAGTTGTTTACTTTGGTGATCCTGAAAGCACAATCCCATTTCACTAGTTCTTAGTGGTACTGGCTTTATAGGATAAGTGTTTCTTTCATCTTTGTTGGCACAGTCTAGTGTGGTCTGTGGAAGTCCGCATACTTGCATCATATGGAGTTCAACTTAACACCTTGAATAATTTTTACCAGGTAAAAGCTGTTGCTGAAGAAATGGGAATTGGATTCCTAGGAATTGGGTTCCAGCCTAAGTGGGGAATCAAAGACATACCTATCATGCCCAAGGTATTTTCATTAGTCTGTTATTCAAGTTGGTTGGAAATGTTTGTTTACTAGAAATGTTGAAAGGGAAATCAACTATTGGTTATGAGTGATCTTAAGCATAATTGTATAAAAGGTGGCATCAGATTGATATAGATATTAACGTGCCATAATCCGACCTTGTCATTCGAAGAGTGAATTATTAACTTCTGCACTTCCATACATATGCCTGTATGCTCTTTGTAGCCATGTCTTTCCAAATCTTGCTTTGCTTGAGGATTAATTGGATGGTACGATCAATGTTGATTGACTATTGTGCTAAATCATTTCACTGGTTCATCATTAGTTCTTTTAAATTTGAGTTTCTTTCATAAGTGATAGCATCACATCTTCCCCCCCCCCCCTTTCCATTGTTTTGTTTTTTAACAAGGAAGCATTGCAGATGTTTGCTTTCACCTTATGTACAGCGGGACAAGTGATATTTGCATTCAATTTTTTTTTTTTTTTGTAGACAGACATGAGTAACGTTTTAAGCTTTTACACAGTTTATTCCAGGAGATCCAGAATCTAGCTTGTATGCTATGAAAGCTTTTTGACATCTTTTCTTCTAAAACGGAACTCTCAGGGAAGATATGATATCATGAAGAACTACATGCCTAAAGTTGGCACATTGGGACTAGATATGATGTTCAGGACATGCACTGTTCAGGTTAGGTGCATTTCATGCTTTCTATATTCCATAATGATAGCAATTGCTTTTCATTTGGTTAATTCATATAGAAATTCATGATCATTAGGTTAATCTGGACTTCAGTTCTGAAGCTGACATGATAAGGAAATTTCGCGCTGGTCTAGCAATGCAACCGGTGAGAGACTTCTCTATGTTTGTCTTTGGAAAGATTTAAAGAGTCTCTGTAACTAAACTAGTTTGGAAATGGACAGATTGCGACAGCTCTCTTTGCAAACTCACCTTTTACTGAAGGAAAGCCAAATGGTTATCTCAGCATGAGAAGGTATTAAGCTGCACTGTAGTTTACTTCATTTCCATATGGATCTTCTACGTAAAATGCAATAATTACAAATGAAAATCAAGTGGATATTACATTGACTCTTCTTTTGTGAAACAGCCATATTTGGACTGATACTGACAATAACCGCTCTGGGATGTTACCTTTTGTCTTTGATAACTCGTTCGGGTATGTCAGGACTTTTTTGGCTATGAATAAATGGAAATTTTTGAAAGTTTTCCCTCTTCAATTAATAGTGCATCAAGTCGTTTCGAGCTTGCTAATTTTGTTGTCAATTGCGTTTGCAGATTTGAGCAGTATGTTGATTATGCTCTTGATGTTCCCATGTATTTCGTTTATCGGAACAAGAGATATGTTGACTGCACTGGAATGTCATTCCGGGTTCCAATCTATCCTTATTACTCTTGTAATTTGAGGTTTTCTCTTGTTGCAAATTGTTTGGACTTGAGCAATGTTTTCTCAGAAATAATAGGAAAACCCATATTTGATGGTTCTGCAGGACTTTCTGGCTGGAAAGCTTCCTTCCCTGCCTGGTGAATTGCCGACCCTTAATGACTGGGAGAATCATTTGACAACAATATTTCCAGAGGTTAGACTGAAAAGATACTTGGAGATGAGGGGTGCTGATGGAGGACCCTGGAGACGGTTGTGTGCGTTGCCTGCATTTTGGGTAATCAACTGGAGCCTTGTTTCCATTTGACCAGACCTAATTTGTGGCAGTCCAGTCCAACATGCAAGTTTCATGAACTTGTCTGATTTCTGTATTATCAGGTAGGACTGTTGTATGATGAGGACTCCCTTCAAAATGTTCTTGACATGGTAGCTGATTGGACGCCTGAAGAAAGGCAAATGTTGCGTGATAAGGTAAGTAAAAATTCATAACCCTTTTCACAACTAATATTTGCAGTAGTCGAATGCAGTTTGTATTAATTCTGAGCACAACGAGTTGCGTTTAGGTTCCAAGGATGGGGTTGAAGACTCCATTTCGAGATGGATTTCTAAAGCACATTGCTGTAGATGTTGTGCAGATGGCCAAGGTAACCCTAATGTTGTCAATGGCACCCTCGATCTAATCTCTTTAACCACTTCCATTCCCAGAACATGAACACCACTTTCTTTCTGTGTGCAGGATGGATTGGAAAGAAGAGGGTTCAAGGAAGTTGGCTTCTTGAACGAGGTTGCAGAAGTAGTCAGAACAGGTAAACTTCAGTCTATTTTCTTTTCTTCGGCATCATGTTTCATTTTGATGATTGTCTTTAAGGTCATCTTGACGCATGATGCACTTATCATCGCAGGTGTGACTCCGGCTGAGAAGCTTTTGGACTTGTACAATGGGAAATGGGGACAATCAGTTGATCCTGTTTTTGAGGAGCTTCTCTACTAAATTGCTGCAATTAGGTTCTTTCACTAGCACTTTCCGATGGCTGCTACTTTTGTGTGTAAAATACTTTTGTCCTCCCAAGCCTTTTTGCAATAATCATTGCGGTGGGTTTCTGGTTTCTCTCAGGAGACCAGTAGATAACCCCACAAGAATAAGTTCCCCGTGCTGATGTATATCCTTGGAGGAGGACTCTCTCCAACAGGGCTCTCCTCCTGGAATGTAGCTTAAGATACCTGTGTTGAAGTGATGAACTAGTTAATGTGTTCAGCTCCATGAACCTCATTTATGCTAGAACATGGTCTTTCCATGGCCATTTTGTGGATCTGGTCTGGTTAACTTTACAAACTTGGTTGGTGTCCCTTGACCCAGTACAGAACCATTCACCACTAACCTTTAGGACACTACAGAGTACAGAGTGACCTATTACATCACCTCCTGTCATGTTGGTGATTCCATAGATTGGCCATGTGGCTGCCACCATGGACCATGTGGTTGCTCTCTCTCTCTCTCTCTCTCTCTCTCTCTCTCTCTCTCTCTCTCTCTCTCTCTCTCTCACCAACATGCAAGTTGCCTGGCTGTGGATTATTATCCGTTTGCTTCTTTGTTTTTCTTGCCTACTTGTTCTTATACTCGCTGAATCCCCTCAAGAGTGTTCCAACTTCCAATCAATCAAGTTGCATGTGCCATTGACAGGGGATGATGGAAGGGAAGTCTGATTTGCTTAGCATTGAGACCTTCCATCCATATTTGTGCATTGATATTCATCATCCACTGTTGAGTAAGGTAGCTTGGTCTCTGAATTAAGTGTGAAAATGATGCTTCAACAACAAGGAAAGAAACATAAATGAACCAATATGATGCGTGGAAGCAATGGCTCAGTGGCTTGAGTGTAAAATCTGTCTATTCCCAGCTCTGGTACCCACTCAGTGTTCTTCTGCTGGTTGATGGTTTTAGCTGGGATGTCACTACTCAGTCACTGATGCAAATGTTTGGAAATCATTCAAGCAGTGTTTAGTAAATAGAGCAGTAGGCCATTGTTGATTTTTCCTTGTGTTTTCACTGGTTGCTTGAGAAAATGTTATTGAATTGTGAAGTGACAAATATTCATAATGTGATGATAATAACTAATAATGTGTTTGTTTTTCCTCCTCGGAATAATGTAGTGGGTGGGTCGTCGGTGGCTGAGAGTGAGAGATAGATGTAGTATTCTTGCTTCATTATGGTGCAGATGGGTAGGCCATGTTTGGATGCTCCCCCATCCTTAACATTTTTTTCTCCTATGGTGTCTGCGTACTGAATTCGGAAAGCAGAAACCTAGTAAATTGAAAAAATCACGTGAACATGGTCTTACAACTTTGTGGAGACCTGTGTTATTGGTGAACAGTCGGCCGAGTCTGGTCACTGCGACTCCTCTTTGTGAGAAGGCACCCGTATCTTTCGAAGATACGGTTCTAATTTTCTTTTGGGGATTTTAATACGTTACATAGGATACCAAACTGGGGATTTAAATCTTTGAGTAGGAGACACACTGACAAAAAATCTTCCCCATCCCAATCTGCATCCAAATAATTGATGGTAGAATTTCTTAATCCCCAATTTTCTCCATTGATTATCTCTAAACCCTTTATTTTAGGTACCTAATACGATCTCTTAAAGATTATAGAAAAGGATTACAGTGATTAACATGGCTTAACTAATCTTACCGTGTGTCGCCTTTCAAAACCATTACCAAACTACCCTCCCCTCTCCCCTCTCATAATGTGCCATTACCCTTGAGGCCTTTTCACAAACACAATCCCAAAAACTAGTTCTTCACTCAAACCGGTATTAGCAAAGCTAGTTTCTGTTTTGTTACTCAATCAAGCTGACTTAACCGGTTGCAAGCGCAAATCTTAACAGTAAACTTTCTCCTGTTGAGTGTTGACCAACATCTTATTCAACGGTGTTGTTATATTGATGCAAAGATGTGATCAGTACATGTTAAATCATCCTCCTACATATTCTCGAGTTTAAAAGAGTAACACCAATAGACGTTAGGTTATCATCTGACTCCTCACAAACCGAATTCACACATATGTCAGCACCAAAACAACCTCAAGCCATCTAACTCTACTTGGCAACAGAACAAGATGGTAGATCAAGGTCAAGCTCCCAATTCCATTTTTGAAGCCTAAAAGAGCAAGAAACAGAAAAAACAAATGGGGAAACGGGTGAAAGTATGATGGGGTAAAACCAAATGACGACGGTAAGATCGTATTGGAGGCTCTACTGAAATATTAATGCTAAATACTTCTGTTGGGGGTGTTGCTAAGGGGCTCCCCGCAGAGACTAAGGAATACCGCGTTCAATCGACAACGTACGACGCTCTAAACCCGCTACGAGTATATAAAGGTATGAAACCCACCAAGGAGGGGGACTCCTCTCTCTCTCCTCACTTTCCACTTTCCACTATCTCTCTACACTTTATCTCTCTACCTTATTCTCTCAACTCTCTCCAGAAACTTATACTAACTTGATCGTCGGAGCTTAATCCGGGGGGCATCCCCGACTCTTTCACAGGTTCTCTCCCTCCCGACGAGATTGGACGAACGGATCGTGAGTCAACCCCACACCAACAAATCATTATTGTTCCTGCCTCGAGCTAGATGGTTCAAACAATTGGCGCCCACCGTGGGGCGTGACTCGACATCTGTTTCTTCAATTTCCGAAGGAGGGAGGGATATCTATAATCCGAAGTTCACAAAAGCCCCGTCGGAAGGAAGGGAAGAGAACGCAGCGACTTGCAGAAGAAAGCCGCTTCTCCTTTCACCAACCCAGGCGTCGGCAACAACCACTGAGAAGAGAGGAAGCAACTCCGGCAATGGTGCCCCGGCGCTGGACCTTCGGCGCTGATCTTTGAAGGAGGCAAGACATGTCACGCAACCCTCACTGGAAGGAAACAAAGAAAGAGTCCAGCAGTAGCAGCCGAAAAAAAAAAAAAAAAAAAAAAAAGTGGCGAATTGTCACATCATCCTGACTTTTCTCCCAAAAAGCGGGTTACTTTCTCCTTGAGTCAGAAGAAAGAAGATAGACGCAAATATCGAGGCAAAACCCATTGCAAGTGGGTGCCAGGCTGTAAAGTACCTTCCCTTTTCAGACTGGCCAGCCCGGGACGCGCGCAAGCCCCAGCTCGCGGTCCGCTTCACCCAGATCACAACCCGAATCTGCCTCTCACGTCGATTATGGGCTCCGTCCCACTCCAGCTCGCGACCCAACAACACACAACTAGCGGCCCACTTCACCAAAGCCCGCGCCCGAGTCAAGCATCGCAGGCCACACAGCCTCGTCGCGTCGCGGCCCACTCGCGTAACGCGTACCCGCCTCAAAAAATGTCGTCGCCGCGGATACTCGAACCAGCAACATGCTTCCGCCAAACAAACGACGTTACCAGCACGCTACATGCGAACTTTGTCCTTCAATTGCGCAGCGTCTCCTCTTCATCTATACCTCCGCGCCACCCTACTGCGCAAGCCGGTGGCCCACCGCCGCCATCGCCTTGGCCGCGTGCAAGCCCAGACTCGCAAGCCCATCTCCACAGGCGCATCCACCGCCTCTTAAGCCCGCTCCACACCTCCAATACTTGGCCCACTCCGCTCCAACTGCAATTGGCGGCCCACACATCAAGTCCCCAAGCGGACTTCCAAAGCCCCCACCAAACCCGCAGGCGCCCCAACTCGCGACCCGCGTTCAGCTTCCGCCGCCTCGACACTCGCGGCCCGACTCACAGGCGGCCCAACTCGCGTCCCACCTTCCGCCTCCAAACCCACTCGCGGCCCGCTCGACCCTTCAGCTCGCGTCACCCGGCCCACTCGCGCCAGATGGGCCCATCACCGCTCAGTCGTGCGCGAGGCACCCAAAAACCACGCGTGGGAGGCGGGATTCGAACCGCTGTCCGTCCATTATCCTGCAAGCAAACAGAACCAGTGGACTACGGGCCAACTGTTGTCAAATGAGCGCAGAAGGTTTATTTTACCCTTTTGTTCGCGCCAGCCCGAGTCGCGGCCCGCACTCATGAATCGAAGTCCGCCCACAGTCTCGGCTCTCACTCCCATCCCTCTCGCTATCTCACGCGGATTGGCCCGCTTCGTTCACATGCCCAGCCCAACAGGCGCTGAACTCTTCAACAAAAAATTATTGTCGCCGCCAGCCTTTGAACCTGCGCCACTATTCCACAAGACAAGCATCTTTACCAGCAGGCCACAAGTACCTTGTGTTTCAACGGTGTGGCGTCTGAATTTTAACATTCGCGCCCAATCAGTTCGAAAGAACAAAAAATTAGTATGAGTCCAGCACTCTGCGCTCAGTTCCACGGAACAAAACTTAGCAATAGTCCAGCACTATTCGCGCCCAATCAGTTCGAAAGAACAAAAAATTAGTATGAGTCCAGCACTCTGCGCTCAGTTCCACGGAACAAAAAATTAGCAATAGTCCAGCACTATTCGCGCCCAGTTCCACGGAACAAAAAATTAGCAATAGTCCAGCACTATTCGCGCCTAGTTCGAAAGAACAAAAATTAGCAATAGTCCAGCACTATTCGCGCCCAGTTCCACGGAACAAAAAATTAGCAATAGTCCAGCACTATTCGCGCCTAGTTCGAAAGAACAAAAATTAGCAATAGTCCAGCACTATTCGCGCCCAGTTCGAAAGAACAACCTGCAGGCTACCACTCAGGTTCTGTTTCAACGGCGCAGCGCCCGCCTTTCAACTACTCCTGCCGCCACTGCCAATATAAAGCTAAGTACTCTATCCCTCCATCATTATTAAATTTTTAAAATATTTTACTATCCTAAGCGTTAATGGCGCTAATGGGGGGCAAGACGCAAGAAGCTGGCACCGCGTCACTAAAACGCGCCACCAGCTGGGGGGCAACTGGGGTACATAGGCCCCACCCAAAATTACCGACAAAGATTTAAAAAAAATAAAATATAAGCTAGTGATGAGTTAAAACTCACCACCAGCTTGGGGGGCAATTGTTGGGGGTGTTGCTAAGGGGCTCCCCGCAGAGACTAAGGAATACCGCGTTCAATCGACAACGTACGACGCTCTAAACCCGCTACGAGTATATAAAGGTATGAAACCCACCAAGGAGGGGGACTCCTCTCTCTCTCCTCACTTTCCACTTTCCACTATCTCTCTACACTTTATCTCTCTACCTTATTCTCTCAACTCTCTCCAGAAACTTATACTAACTTGATCGTCGGAGCTTAATCCGGGGGGCATCCCCGACTCTTTCACAGGTTCTCTCCCTCCCGACGAGATTGGACGAACGGATCGTGAGTCAACCCCACACCAACAAATCATTATTGTTCCTGCCTCGAGCTAGATGGTTCAAACAACTTCCGATAAAAAAAAAATTCTCAATCAGATTGTCGATATGGTGTGGTTTTACCAAGGTTGTCAAACCGGTTTAAGTCATTGAACCGCTCAAGTAAGGGGTTTGAGGTTTAATGGTCAGATCGGGGTTCGGCCGGTTTAAACCGTTTTCTAAATATATAAACAAATAAGGTAATAATTAAAGATTTAATGACTGAAATAAAATTTATTTTACATATATCTATTAAAAAATTATTTTTCAAAAAATAAATATACCTAACCTACATGACTCACTCACCATTTCTCTTTTTCTTTTTCCATCTTTTCTTCTCCCTCTTAAAACTTTTTGAAAGCCGTTTTGAAGCCCAGGGTTTCTATAGAGATTTAACAAATGAAACTATGAAAACAATATAATATGGTAAAAATCAAAACCAATGGCTACGAGTAGAATGAGGACAAAGAAATTAAGAAACCCCCTAAGATCCATCTATCTGGTTGTCTCCTTCCCATTTCCAGCTAATACAAACACTGAAACACTCTCCTCCCACACATCAAAATGACACGCCACATGCCTAATGTGAATGAGTCTCACACCTCTTTTCCCTCCATAATTCCCCTCAAAATAAAAAAACCTAAAATTAATAAACAAATAAATAAAATACCCACCTCCATTACAAATACAATCTCAAATAATATCTCATCTTCTTCCCAACACAAACCACTTACAAAAACCCTCTCCCTTCCATTCATCTCTTCCTTGCCCCTCACCTCCATTCCCCCAACCTAACAAAGCCCACCAGCATCCCATCCCATCCCAGCAAAATGAGAGAAATCCTCCACATCCAGGCAGGCCAATGCGGGAACCAGATCGGCGGCAAGTTCTGGGAAGTGGTGTGCGACGAGCACGGCATCGATCCCACCGGAAAATACGTCGGCGACTCCAGGGTCCAGCTCGAGCGAGTCAACGTCTACTACAATGAGGCCAGCGGCGGGCGCTACGTCCCCCGGGCCGTCCTCATGGACCTCGAGCCCGGCACCATGGACAGCCTCCGGACCGGCCCATACGGCCAGATCTTCAGGCCCGACAACTTCGTCTTCGGCCAGAACGGCGCCGGCAACAACTGGGCCAAAGGCCACTACACCGAAGGAGCCGAGCTCATCGACTCTGTTCTCGATGTCGTCCGCAAGGAAGCCGAGAATTGTGATTGCCTCCAAGGTAACGCCATTACACAAATTCAAACTCTACACAATCCACATTTGCCTCAATCCATCCATGTTGACGCTGTTGGATTTGTTGCCAATCACTGGATCGAACTTGCGTTTCGAATTTACAAAGTTGGGACATTGCGGTGATCTAGCTTTGACAATTGAGCGCGCACGATCCAACAATGTCAGCAGGCACTGAATTTCGTTTTACTTGTGCTTAACAACCATGATTATTGGGGGGAAAATTGGTGTAGGGTTTCAGGTGTGCCATTCTTTGGGAGGAGGGACGGGATCTGGGATGGGGACGTTGTTGATCTCCAAGATCAGGGAAGAGTACCCGGATCGAATGATGCTGACCTTCTCCGTCTTCCCGTCGCCCAAGGTGTCTGACACCGTGGTGGAGCCTTACAATGCTACTCTCTCTGTTCACCAGCTGGTTGAGAATGCCGATGAGTGTATGGTGCTTGACAATGAAGCTCTGTACGATATCTGCTTCAGAACCCTCAAGCTCACTAACCCTAGCTGTAAGTCATGTTTAAATCACAACAATCAGGGGATATGTGATTTTGGGTGATTGAGCAAATTACTGATTTGAATTGCTTAATTCGACAGTCGGAGATCTGAACCACCTGATCTCGACCACGATGAGCGGAGTGACCTGCTGCCTCCGCTTCCCGGGGCAATTGAACTCCGACCTCCGCAAGCTGGCCGTGAACCTGATCCCATTCCCTCGGCTCCACTTCTTCATGGTCGGATTCGCTCCGTTGACCTCCCGCGGCTCGCAGCAGTACCGCGCCCTGACGATCCCGGAGCTGACGCAGCAGATGTGGGACTCGAAGAACATGATGTGCGCCGCCGACCCGCGCCACGGCCGCTACCTCACCGCCTCGGCGATGTTCCGCGGCAAGATGAGCACGAAAGAGGTGGACGAGCAGATGATCAATGTGCAGAACAAGAACTCGTCCTACTTCGTGGAGTGGATCCCCAACAATGTGAAATCGAGCGTCTGCGACATCCCGCCGACGGGGCTGTCGATGTCGTCGACGTTCATGGGGAACTCGACCAGCATTCAGGAGATGTTCCGCCGGGTGTCGGAGCAGTTCACGGTGATGTTCAGGAGGAAGGCGTTTTTGCATTGGTATACAGGGGAAGGGATGGATGAGATGGAGTTCACGGAGGCGGAGAGCAACATGAACGATTTGGTGTCGGAGTATCAGCAGTACCAGGACGCGGCGGCGGACGGGGATGAGCTCGAGGAGGAGGAAGAGGAAGGGGAGTTTGATGGCTGAGAATTAGGGCACCGCCACCGGAGATGGGGATCGGGCGACGGCGGAGGAGGGAGGAGGGTTTTGGATTGGGGATTTATATTTTGTTTGGGGATCTAAAAATAAAAAAGAAAAAGCTTCAATTGAAGTGTTTTCTTTTTGTCTCTTTTTGTTTTTTCCCTGTTTTTATTTCGTGAGATCGGTTCGTGAATTTCTACTGTGAATTTTGTGGGGTTGTGAATTGTGATATAGTTAGTTAAATTATATTTGTTCGTGTGCAAAGTTCGTGAAATTTTTTATGTTCAAGTGATTAATTAAATTTAAACTATTAATCTTATTTAGTTTGCCTAATTGCCTCCTTCTAAACATAGCTAACAACAGACTACCATAATTTACGGGACCGGCCACTATAACAACACCCATTGTGTTGTTATTGTAACAACACTAGTCCCCAACCAATAGGAAGCTAGGATTGTGATGACTTTTTATTAGATGAGTTGACCTAGTGTAAAATCAAAACAGGGTATAATTGTCATTATGAAAAATCTATTTAAATAAAAAAATAAAAAAAATATTTTTTTATTTCCCGCCCAAAAATTTGGTCGTCGAAATTCTGCCACCGGTCGCCGGAAAATGGTCGCCGGTCACCGGAATATGCTTTTTGTCGCCGGAATATGCTATTTGTGGCCGGAATATGCTTACCGGCGTCGGAATCTAGTCATCGGGGCCGGAATACCTATCGGCGTCGGAATCTGCTCACTGACGGTCACCGGAGTTCGGTCAACGAACTTCGTTGACCGGTCAATGGTCAACGATCACCGAATGTTATGGTTAGCATAGTGAGATTTATGGTTTGGTTTCTCATATTTTTTTTATGCCTTTTATGGTTTGCTTTATCGTGTTTCTGGTTTGCATTGAGAAGTTTCTGGTTTGCTTTCAAAAACTTTGTGGTTTGCATTGTGAGGTTTCTGGTTTGTTTTAATATATTTGTGGTTTGCATTAGGACGTTTATGGTTTGCTTTTTGTGGTTTGATTTACTGTGTTTGTGGTTTGCATTAGGAGGTTTCGGGCGTGCTTTCACAAATGTTGTGGTTTGCTTGTGAGGTTTGTGGTTTGTTTTAGGAGATTTGTGGCATGCATTAGGAGGTTTCTGGTTTGCATTAATAAGTTTCTGGCGTGCTTTCGAAAATGTTGTGGTTTGCATTGCGAGGTTTCTGATTTGTTTTAATATATTTGTGGTCTGCATTAGGACGTTTATAGTTTGTTTTTTATGGTTGCTTTGCAGTGTTCATGGTTTGTATTATGAGGTTTCTGGTGTGCTTTCAAAATATTTGTGGTTTGCTTTGTGCGGTTTCTGGTATGTTTTAGAGAATTTGTGGTTTGCATTAGAAGGTTTTTGGTATGTTTTCTGTGGTTTGCATTAAGAAGTTTATGGTGTGCTTTCGAAAATTTTATGGTTTGATTTGTGGGGTTTCTGGTTTGTTTTGTGAGGTTACTAGTTTATTTTAGAAGACTTGTGGTCTGCATTAAAAAGTTTACGGTATGCTTTTTTTGGATTGTTTTACTGTGTTCGTGGTTTGTATTGAGAAATTTATGGTATTTTTTCATATGTTTCAGGACATTTGTGGTACTTTTAGATAATTCTGATTTCATTTGTCGTAAATTCATTTTAGCATATTACAACGTCGTATAGGCAAATAAGTCACAAAATTATTTGCATAAACAGAAATTCCAATAGGCAAAAGCAAAAAAAAAACATTATTTCTGTTAAATAAAGAACACCCAACTCCAATTAGCACAACATTATATCAATTTTCTACATAATTGCAATCTTGCCCCTAACCTCCAACCCAAAATACTATCACCGGAAGAAGAAAGTAGATTTCATAACTCTAGAATTAAATGCTTGTTGTGGACCAAACTACTGCCTACAAACAAATCCCCAAAAAAAAAAAGGGATTAACCTTCCAATTACAGGCCCCAATTTCAAATGTAAATTCTGGACAAATTTAGACCTCTCACTATCAATTATATACATCAACAGATCCATTGAAGATCTCCCATAGCCACGACCCCTGCTCATTCAATACCAACTAAGCCATAGAAGAAGATTAGAAGAATGTCGATCATAGCTATTTTGCTGCTATCTTTTCTCTTCTTCATATCTCTATGGTGCTCGATAGCATTTCTATCCAAGAGCAAAAGCGCTTCCGTCGTCGAATGGCCGGTGGTGGGCATGCTTCCGGCCCTGCTTTGGAATGCAACCACCGATCTCCACGGCTTCGTCGATCGAGTCGTGAAAGAGAGCGGCGGCACGTTCGTGTTCAAAGGGCCATGGTTCGCCAAGCTGGACTTCGTCGTCGCCAAGCTGCTCCCTCGGCAGCGGAAACTACCTCGTCGCCGCGGCTTCGGCACTCCGAAAACAAAGCTCCACTTAATGCACGACTCCGGCAGCGAGTTCTCGTGGGTGAATGACCGCCAGCCCGGCGAAATCGACAACTGCTTCGACCCTCGATCCTCTTCCACCTACTCTAGGGACGTCCGTGCTTGGTCGTTTGGATTGGCATCGATCGATAGCGGCGGCGCTAGGAGAAAGAAGAAACGAAGGAAGAAGACAGTGAGATTTGAAGGATTGGGGATCGGAAGAGAAACACGCTTTTCTTCCTTCTTTAATTCTATCTTTTATTTTTTAATTTTCTTGTAATTTTACCCTTATACCCTTGTTGTTACAGTAACAACAAAATGGGTGTTGTTATTCTATCCGAGCCCATAATTTACCAAGCTTATTCACAGAAGGTCAAAAGCTAACAAGAGAATCACCCTTTTAGCGGGCGATTTGCATAATTATTGGTAAAACAAAAAAAAATTCTCACAAATTAGTGGGAGATTGTATTTACACGATATTGTGATGAGTAGGGTTGGGAAACGGTGCGGTCTGGTCATATATACGGTCTACGGTCCAGACCGAGAGGCTAAAGTATAGACCACAGACCAGACCACAGACTATACGGTCTGGTCGAGACCACGCCTGTGCGGTCTGGTTCGGTCTGGTCTGGTCCAGATAGACCACACTCAACGAAAAATGAATAATTTGTTTAGTCAACCACACAAAAAATTGAACCAATAACCAAGAAAAATAATTGTTATTTGCCTTAAAAAATTAATCCTAACATGCATGAATAATTTTGATACTCTTAATCTTAGTACATAACAAAGATACAAAGTAAAAGCATCTCGGCTTGCACCATAATGTCATAAACATTAACATAATGCCATATGGAGACACGATTATCTCTACTCTGTGGTTAAATGTGGTTGTGAATGAAGGAGGGAAGAGATTCACAAAATTAAGGTTGAGACTTGGGTGTCGTTGTGGGAGTTTGAAGAGTGGTCGAATGGGCTGTTAACACGTATTGACAAGTCAGTTGGGTCTACGGTTTGGTCCGGTAAACCGCGGTCTAGACCAGACCAGACCAAGAGATCAAATCATAAAATAATACAGACCATGGACCAGACCAGACCATACTTCACGGTCTACGGTCCGGACCAAACTGTGCGGTACGGTTTGGACCACAGTTTTTCTAATGGTCTGGTCTATTTTCCCAGCCCTAGTGATGAGAAGTCAGAATGCGCCTCCTCATGCATACAAAGCGAAATTAATGTTATTAACTTAATATGCGCACAACCGCACTAGCTGAGAAAAATTGATAAATATTTAGCTCAGCATGCACAACTATATCTACAATTTAATATTATGTACCTTGGTGTGTACGATAACGCAAGTTGAGATAGTTGAGAGTGAGATATTAAGAATCAAATTCTACATGGAGGGTATGCACAAGTGAAGGCATCAAGAATTGGTCAACTTATCACTATACGACCCGCAAGTTGAGAAATTTTTGGAGCAAAATTGGAGAAACCGTGAACGATGAAGAGGCTTGGTGAGGAAGTCTGTGACTTGATTGTGAGTATAGATGCAGCGGACCAATGCCAACTCGTTTACGAACAATATGAAAATCAATCTTCATGTCGACATCGTAATCATAACTCGTCTAGTTCTACTGTTGCTTCCCAATTCATTGCTTCTTCATCGTTCCAAACAACTCTCCCTCCTCTTCACCATCATATTGTTGTGAAGTTGACTCTTACCAACTATCCACTCTCGCAAATGCAACTCTTACTTCTTCTTACCATCTAGCTACGATATTGCTAAATATGTTGATGGCTCCTCACTTGCTCTCCCGAAGTCTTGACGTTCGGCTCAACTCTACCTATGATGCACGATACCAGCGTGATCAAATTGTCTTCCCCTAGATTGTAATGTCCCACACTTACTCTGTTATTTCCAAACTTTATAAGCAACCCACAAGATGTAACCAAACGATTTCAAGCTTCACAAACACTAGAGCAACCTACAAGCTTTGAAGAACAGAATCGGTGAGGGACATAGTAATCTAGGAGAAAAAAAGTTGATCATGTATGTACCAGGTTTCATAGCCAGATCGAGTTGTCATCAAAATACCCCGAGGGAGGAGCAGGAAAGGTTTCGTCAAAGTATTTGATAACATCATAGTTTGTAAGAAAGAGTTGCATACGCTAGAGTAGATAATTGATTATTAACTCACTATTTGGGAAATTAGGGTTTCCAAGAAAAGAGGAAAGAGGGGAATTGAATTGGAATTTGTTGGTTCAAAGTGAACGACTGAGATGTCTAATCTCTTCGTTCTTGTTGAAACCAAAATAAATACACAATGATTGGGCCTGTATATTAAATAGTCGGCCCAGTATGAAAAAATAAAGAAGACTGACTTAGTTGCTGGATAATAAAGATCAAAGGCATGAATAATTTAAACTCTGAGTTGTTTTGCTTTTCTAAACTTAAAACTCAGAGACTCCATACTTTGTTTTTCCAAGAGGATGAACTAGAAATAGAGTAAGCAAAACGAAATAGAGAGGTCCAGAAAAGAGAAGGCACACGAGATTTTTAACGTGGCTCACCAAGTTGGCTACTCCTCGTCCTGTAATCAGTGCCCATTGATTTCCACGAGACTTTATTACTGATTTTCTTCTATCAAACCAGAAAGCTGTGAAAATTAAAGGAAAGAGTAAACTGGAAAACCCATATCCCTAATCCGACTTGTTGCAACCTATCACAATTTAGAACCTCGACCTCTAAATTCGTAGCACACTTTGTAATCCACTCCCAATTACAAAGCTTGATAAGAGAGAGCTCGGTATGAGCTATTTATACAAGGCATCCATGCGACCGTTGAGCTTGAAACAATCTAGAAAAGGATAGCTGGATTTGCTGAGTGATCTCCTTTAATTCTCCAATTT